ATGGTGTTTTCTAGCAAATTTACTAAGAGATGCTTGGAAGTAAAGGTCGGATCTGAATTAAGAACTAACCGTGTAGGCCTGGAAACAAAGCATAAAAAACCAATATTATATGGCAAAGAATGTGCATTTATATTGCACGTGTAATATTCTGAAGATCATTATACATACTAAAGGGGAGAGAAACCAGATACGTAATTAAGTCAGTACCATTGTTACGCCTTGTTAAAGGAATATATATTTTGTTTGCTTTATGTTTGTATCTTTATAAGGGAGTTGTTAACTAACACAACTAATTACAAATAGAGACGAAGTTTTAAGTTGTATCAAAAGAACATTAGTTTAAAAAATTTGTCAACCCGGCTAATGGTTTTATGATCATTGCTGTAATATGCTATTTTCATTTTCTTTTTTTTTTGTGCAGAAGATTATGTCTTTTGCGATCAGTTTCGGAGTATGTATACATCGCATTTTTGTATTTATAAAGAATTGTTTTTATTAAGTTCCATTACAATTTAGATACAGTACAAACTATTATCACTGGAGTAACAATATCGGCCTAATAGACCAGTCAGTAAAGGAGTTGATTGTTGCAAACGGTGGGGTAGTAAATATTATTTTTGCAACTTGTATATATGTGTACTAGGAAGTAAATATCAAAAATGGTAGCACCAAATATGTCGGGGCAACTTTTGGCAGGCTAAAAACCTTAAAATATGGGTGTTCTATGGGATAAAAATGGATTATACTCATTTTTGACCCCCCAAAACACAAAATTTCTTAATTTCTCTCCAAACCATTTTGTAGAGCTTAAAAAAAGAAATAATTTTGTGTATTGAAGCGTTGTTCTATGCCCAACGGTTACGGAGGTAATTAAAAAAATTTAATTTAAAATTCCCATGTTATTCTTATGAAGAATAAATAAACAGTTGTAGTTTGTTTATTTATTTATGTAATTAAACCAAATTTGGAAATTGTGTTAATTCAATACTAAGCTATTGACATTGCAATAGAAAAATCCCCCCGCCGCAGCAAACCTGCCGACTAAGCGAGTTTCCATTTGTCTGAATTGATTTTCAATTAAATCTATTTAAATAACATTACGTTTAATGAGTACCTAGGTTTGCTGCTAAAAGGAAAGTAATAAAGTGTATTTTTTTGTAAACTATTAATAGCTTAGTATAAAATAAATAAATTGGCCAAGTTTGATCAAAATATATCCATAAAAAAGCAAACTACAAAATTTCACAATATTCTTCATAAGAATAACATGGGAATTTTAAATTTACAGTTTTTTTTAATTTTCTCCGTTACTAATAACCTTAGAAAAACCTTTTGATATACTACATTATTTGGTTTTTTAAGCTCTTTAAAAAGGTTTAGAGAGAAATTGGGAAATTTTGTGTTTGGAGGTCAAAAATGAGAAAAAACATGTTTTACCCCATAAAAGCCCCCGTAAAACTTATGTAAACATATAAAAAAATTTGAACTAATGGTGTTTTTGGCCTCTGGGGACATCAAAATGAAAAAGTAAATCGGTCTCGGGCCTAGGTCTTACCGTGCCACCTAAGATAATAGCTATTTCCCTATTATTGGGAAGTTCGCTAAAAAACACGTTTAAAATCTTCCCTGTAGCAGCAAACCTAAGTACTCACTAAAATTAATGTTAATGAAATAGGAAATGAATCTGACAATTTGTAGGGCATATTTAATTAGAAATTCAGCCAGGTAAATAGAAATTCACATAGTCTTCAGGTTTGCCGTGGCGAGGATATTTTGATTTTTTTCCTTTTTATTATCCATAGCGCGTTCTAGCCAAAAGGTTACTAAGTAACAAATTAAAAACCCATAATAAACTTACAGAAGTCGTCCAAGCGTTCATAGTGGCGTCTGAAGGTACTCATGTGTCATGAGTTACATAGTTTTGACAGTACAAATGCACATCATGGTGAGTCACACTTTTTTTAGAGGCATTAAACCCACAATTAACATACAAACATATTTTACAAGGTTTTTATTAACGTCCTGTATTATGTTTTGAATTTATTATCAGAGATATTTTGTGCTACGGTTTATAAGATGGACTGTTGATATAAAAATCACAATAATAATAATAATAATAATGCTGTTCAGCATTAGTTTAACAGTTAAGGTTTTTTAATTACGTTAGGTAATTGTAATATTGTTTTACCGTCATTTCCTGCGCTTGTAAGAAGGGTTGTGCTGAAGCGTGCTCTTTTCGCAAAGCTGGTCTGAAATGCTCTTCGATCTGCAAGCACTGTTGTGGCCAACAGCGCGAACATGTCATGCCAGCTATAGCTGACGACGATGAAGACAATTCATACCTGATATTGGAATGTGGAGAACGAGACCTTTTAAATACATTGACCAATGATGTATGACTATTATTTAATGCCTCTTAAAAAAGTGTAACTCACCAGGATGTGAAATTGTACTGTCAAAACTATGTAACTCATGAGTACCGTCAGACGCCACTACGAACGACTTGGACGACTTCTGTAAGTTTTTTATGGGGTTTTAATTTGTTACTTAGTAACCTTTTTGCTAGAACACACTACTGTGCATACTTACAGATAAAAAATGGAAAACAACAAAATACCCTCACCGCAGCAAACCTGCAGACTAAGTGAATTTACATTTACCAGGCTAAATTTCTAATTAAATATGCCCTAAAAATTGTCAGATTTATTTCCTATTTAATTGTTAATATTAATTTTACTGAGTAGGCTACTTAGGTTTGCTGCTACAGGGAAGATATGCATTTTTTTATTGCAATGTCAATAATAGTTTTGAATAAACACAATTTCCAAATTTGGTTTAATTATATGAATAAATTAACAAACTATAGCTCGGCCGCTTAGAAAACGACCTGTGCGCTAATGCTAAACCAATGCTGGAGGAGGTCGTTTTCTAAGCGGCCGAACTATAACTAAAACAGTTCATTTATTCTCCATAAGAATAACATGGGAATTTTAAATTTACAATTTTTTTAATTATCTCCGTAACCGTTGGGCATACAACAACGCTTCAATACACAAAACCATTTCTTTTTTTATGCTCTACAAAATTGTTTGGAGAAAAGTTATGAAACTTTGTGTTTTTATGGTCAAAAATGGAGAAATCCATTTTTATCCCATAAAACCCCCATATTTTACGGTTTTTAGCCTGCCAAAAGTTGCCCCGACATATTTGGTGCTACCATTTTTGGTGTTTTCTTCCTAATACCCATATATACAAGTTGCAAAAATAAAATTTACTACCCCACCGTTTGCAATTTGACCACCCTATTTGAACCTCTAATGACTGGTCTATAAACCTATATTTCCATACAGTGGTTGATACGACATTTTCTCTATTAGAAAACATTTTGCAAAAGACTTTTGTTAATTTAAGTTAAAACAAGAATAAAAGTTTAATCTGTACCGAAGACTGTTTGGTAAAGTTTAGATCATGCAGGCTTTATCTGGTTGAATAAGAAAACAATACAGTTAATTAATTATGCAGACAACAAAGCACCTTAATTGCTTCACAGAGTGTATTTTAACTACCGTCACTTCTTGTGTTGTAATCAAACATTGTTTATGCACAGTACAGTATTTTGTAATGGGTCAAAATTATAGAGGGGTTAAGTTTTTATATTTATTATTTAATTATCAGTAGGCCTATTCCTTACCTGGTTGGTGATAGTGGTAAACCTATCATGGTAAGGTAAATAGGCTGTTCTAGGCCTATCCTAGGGTTGAAGTAGAGATAACCTCACTTTTGGGCAAAATCACTAAAGACACTATTTTTGAGATTCACAAGTCACAGTATTGCATCGTTGTGTACAAAACAAGTGATAAACCGTTTCCGTGTAACCCCCATGCCTAATATACACCTTTGGGAAGTACGGTCAAAGTTGTTGGTTAGGCTAGGGTGGTGAACCGCGATCACAAATACAATATCACTACATAACATGCATACACTTTGTCGCACGCTAAGCTACACGTCACGGGTGGAAATTATACTTTTTGCTTAAACCAGAGACGATATTAAAGTTCCGCAGTATAATTTCACAGTCGGCGCAGGTGAATAACAACAGTAACAACATAACCTGTACCACTAGTCGGCTGTCTTGGCGTTGTGTTGTGACAGCGCCAATTTTGAACTCGTGACGTCACCGATCAGCTGGGAAGTGAATCAGCTGATTCCCCATCCCTAAGGGGTTAGGGAGGGGGAAGTAGGGAGATCCCTTGTGGGCTAGGGATGCGACGACATTCTAATCCGGCGATTTCCAGTGTTAGGACGTGTCTTGCTTTGAAAGAGTGATTGCTTTAGTGATTTTGCTAAACGTGTGCTTTAGTGTGTCAGTGAAGATCCCTGGAGTATACAGGTAATTCGCCGGCTTTATCTTAATAGTGTGTACTATTATTTTTTATTATTTAGCGATAAACCCTCATTTTATCCTTTTAGACATAAAACTCACGGTAGGATCTTTGTCGGGTGTTAGAACTTGTATAAGTCCGCTTTAGCGTATGCTAGGGCTCCCGTGGGTGGCAATAAAGAGTTTTAGGGATACAAATTTCGTTTAATATTGTGTTTACAATATATATTGAGGGTGTCGGGGTTATAGCGGGTATTTTGCCGGGATATTCAGTAGGTGTTTAACTGCTGCGGCAAAGCGGGCAAAGTTGAACCCGTCTCTGCAGGTCGTGCAAACACGAGGTCGGGTGGAGCACGCTAAGTATATTCAGAAGAAATATTCTAAGTGTTGAGGTTGACGAAACTGCAACATTAAATTGTTTCAAAATTTCGTTGAATGGTTTTTCATTATTTTTAAATTTAATTTAATTAGCTGTTCCCAGGTGTGAACGATGATGATGGTACAGTAGCGTTGTTGGTTACCGGTACTGAGTTCACACCTGATTCAGACTACATTTTTGCGTAAATACAAATCTGTACCTGTGCTAGGTTGTTGCGTTAATTAAATAAATTATTTTTACCTGAACCCTGGAAACTTCCCAGCACGCCGACTTGAGCGATCCGCTGGCGAGAGTTGGTGACGTCTTTCCCGCTTTAACTACGGAATAGCGCATATATTCCGAGCGGGAAAAACGGCACGTTACATTGGCGCCCGAACGAGTAGACATTTTTTGATTGATTTGGACTTAGTTTTACTGGAGTTGTGTTTTAATTTTAGTTAGTTAGCATATACCTAGTGTATTCTAACTCTAGTTTGAGCTGGTTTATATCAGTTGGAGGGAACTAGCGCTTGTTTTTAGGCTAACTAAAGACCAAGTAAAACTAGTTAACGACCAATTATTATTTAAAATTGTGGTTGTGAATTTATTTAGCCCACGCAGCATAGCCAATTTTGGCCGATACTTTTGTGCTTATCTTAGCAACCAGTTATCGTCAGTTGTATATTTTTTATTTATTGAACCTGCATTTATTGTTGTGGGGTGTATAGTATAATTTTATTTTTTTTATTTTGGTGTTGATTTGATAATTTAGTACTTGCTTTATTATTCTTTTAAATAGCTTGTTGGCACTTAGGCATTTTATTTAACTGTTATAACTGGTGATAAGGGTTTAAGTGTGATAACACCTATACATAGACGTGGGCGAATTTAATTTTTTTTTTAAATTTAATAATTTTTTATTTTATTTTTGACTTTATCTGATTAGGCCCGTGTTACGGTCATGCCGAATACCACTGAGGTTGAGTCGTCGGTTGCTCAAACCGTTACCACGGTACCGGTAGTAGTGACAACTTGCGCTGGGACCTTTACGGTGACTACCAGTAGTACTGCGAACCTTCTCAATGTCACGCGGGATGTAATACCCCCTGCGACTCTAGGGGTGATCCCAAGGACAAACCCGACAATTTTGGGTGAAGGCTTGAGGTCTCCGTTCGATGATCCTCGCGTGGGGTGGATCCACGAATTGCGTAAAGAGGACCTCACACGTGAGATGGAGAGGTTTGGACTAGACACTCGAGGGAAGGTGGAAGATCTGAGGAGAAGGTTTTGCCAGTTCTGGAAGGACCCTAAGAGTCAGTGGCCTTTCTTGTCTCAGGCTGGTATGATTAACCAAGCCCAACAGCCTACATGGGTGACGGCTACGGGCCATGAACCTGGTTACATGCCTGAGAGTGCTTCTGGGGGTGATCAACGTCCTCCCTCCTTCCCAGGCGAGAATGTGGGGTCGGACGCCAAACATGTTGTTGCGGATAGTGTTTGTGAAATGCTGGGGCTTCCGCCTGGCACTGACGTGGACACAGTTAGGCAGACCTTGGCCGTGGTGTTGAGAACCGCGTCAGAACCAAAGACGTCAACCATAGACGGTTTACGTAAGGAGACTGGCCCATTTAATTTGACCGGTAGCCTTGTCACCTTTAGTGACGGATTCCAACGGCCTATAACGACTGAAATTCAGCCTGAACCCGTATCCTCTGCAACCGGGGTGTCTTCGGCTAGAGTAGGTCTTCAGCCCTGTCTTGGGGGCGTGGCTCAGCCCTTGTGGGGTGACTCAATTTTGAGAACCCGGTCAGATGCTCGTCCTTACCTACAGCCGGGCAACTATACGCCGTATACAGATGGGCTACCTAGGCCGGTGGGAGAAAACAACTTCCGTGATAGACCGAGTACTGCGCCTTGGTTTTCTGGACAGCCAAGTGGTGATACGGTTAGGCGAAATAGAGAGTTAACTTTGCCTACGACTTCTACCTATTATCAACCGATGCTTGACAAGCGTAGTCGCGAGTTTACTTCGATTTGTGATTCTGTGCGGAAGTGGAATTTGCGATTCGATGGGAGAAGAGATCCCGTCTCGTTTGTTGAGCGGCTTGGTGAACTGATAGAAACCTACTCCTTGAGCGATGAGGAGGTGTTAAGAGCAATGCCAGAGCTGCTTCAAGGGGAAGCTCTGTTATGGTATCGGAACCAGAGGAGTTTTTGGGTTGGTTTCGCTGATTTTCTGGCTGATTTTGAAACCCAGTTTTATCCTCCCGGATACCGACGCTACCTTGACGAGGAAATTCGCAAGCGTACGCAGGGTGATAACGAGTCATTCCGCTGTTATCTCACTGCGATATCAACCCTGATTCGGCGCAGTGGTGAATTCTCTGCTCAGCAGAAGTTAAACCTAGTTTACACGAATATGAAGCCCGATTATAAACTTATGGTACGGCGTAGTGACTTTGCTACAATACCAGAGTTAACTCGGAGGGCCGAGGAATATGAGGCGTACTTGAGGGATCGAAGTACTTTTCGGCCTCCCCCTCCTCCGTCTCTAGCTCTTGTTCCGGAAACGGCTTATGTGTCAAAGCGTAGGATGGAGCGGGTGTTTGACCACGCTGCGGTTAAACCCATGCTAACCGAGGGTGTCGATGCTTGCGCTAAGGGGGAGACGATAGCTACTTCCGGTCCTGCGGTAAATAATGTAAATTGTGCTGGTCTTGAAACTCGGCGGGGTGTTCAACCCAGAACAATGCCAGAGTTGAATAGGTGTGCGCCCAGCGGCGAGAACCTGAGGCCGATGCTTAACCCGGAAAGGAGTGGATTAGTGTGCTGGAATTGCGATCAGCGTGGCCACCGTTTTAGGCATTGCCCGAAACCTAAGAGGGTGCGTTGCTATTTTTGCAAGACGGAGGGCGTTACCACGTACCGGTGCGGATGTCGTGCGGGAAACGGTGGCCGGACTCAGAGCCCCAGAGGTCAGCCGAGTCCGGGGCAGCAACACGACACACGACCTCCCGCGAATGGCATAAGTGGCTCGAATATGTGAAGAGTTTCACGGGAGCCGTGGAAGGTGTCGACCGGGGTGACGTTAGACCCTTTGTGGAGGTTGAATTGTTTGGCGAAACCTTCCGAGCACTGGTCGACACTGGGGCTAGTGTCAATCTTATAGGGTCCCGAATTAAGAAACTCCTTGTCGACAGGGGTGTGAACCCCACCACCGTCAGTGTAGTAATGAGAATGGCTGATGGTTCGAGCCGTGAAGCGGGATCCTTGTACCAGCTTTCAGGCCGGGTGGGCGAACAAGCCCATACCTGGGAGGCGTATTATGTCCCAAATTTGACGTGCGATCTGATTCTGGGCATGAGGTGTTTAGAGGAGCTTGACCTGATCTGCGTTGATCGAAGGGTGATTTTGCCTACTGAGGTCATGGGGACGGGTGGTAATAACCTCAGCGCGATTGACGCTCTTGCACCAGAGGAGGAACAGAAACTGGCAGAGTTCCTGAGAGTCGAGTTGCCAAAATTTGAGGCAGTTCCGGGACTGACTTCGCTGGTTGAGCACAAAATTCGGCTCAAAGAGGGTGCAGTGCCCATTAAACAGCGGTATTACCCGCGTAACCCCGCCATGCAAGCCATAATTGACCAAGAGGTTGACGATATGCTGCGGCAAGGGGTGATAGAGCCTTCCACGAGTCCTTGGAGCTCACCGGTGGTGTTGATTAAGAAAACATCCGGCACCTACCGATTTTGTATTGACATGCGATCGGTAAATGACTCGTCAGTTAAGGATGCGTATCCTTTACCCCGGATCAATGGAATCCTGGAAAAGTTACGCCAAGCCAAGTACATCAGCACCTTGGATCTTAAGAGTGGGTATTGGCAGGTACCTCTGGCAGTTGAAAGCCGGGCGATAACCGCGTTTACGGTTCCCGGCCGAGGGCTGTACCAGTTTACCGTTATGCCCTTTGGATTACACTCAGCCGGTGCGACGTTTCAGAGGTTGCTCGATATGGTTATAGGTGTTGAACTTGAACATAAGGTCTTTGCATACCTTGACGACTTGGTAGTGGTGTCGACGACCTTTGCGGAGCACCTCGAACTTCTGAAACTAGTATTTGACCGACTTTGTGCTGCTGGCTTGAAGTTGAACCCCGAAAAATGCCACTTCTGCAAACGCCAGTTAAAGTATCTTGGACACGTGGTAAATTTTGAGGGGATAACCACTGACCCTGAGAAGGTCCAGTCGATTAGTGAGTTCCCGATACCTACCAATATCAAGAAGCTGCGTAGTTTCTTGGGTCTGGCGTCCTGGTATCGGCGCTTTATTGAAGGCTTTGCGACGGTGTCGGCGCCTCTACGATATCTGCTTAAGAAAAGCGCAAAGTGGCAATGGGGTGATGCGCAAGAGTCTGCGTTTCGGAAGTTAAAGGAGCTTTTGTGCTCTTCTCCCGTATTGGCCTGCCCCGACTTCAGTAAAACTTTCACGGTGCAGGTTGACGCCTCGAATGTGGGGCTGGGTGCCGCCTTGACCCAGGAAGTTGAGGGCAAGGAGGTGGTGATCGCGTATGCGAGCCGTCTGCTGACTGACCAGGAATCCAAGTACTCTACCACAGAGAAGGAGTGTCTTGCCTTGGTCTGGGCAGTCAGGAAGTTTAAACCGTACTTGGAAGGCTACCACTTTGTGGCGATTACAGATCATGTTGCTCTCAGCTGGCTCATGAAACTACGTGAACCGAGCGGTAGATTAGCTCGGTGGGTCATGGAGCTCCAGCAACATGATTTTGAAATCAAGTACCGCAAAGGCACGTTAAACAGGGTAGCCGACGCCTTATCCAGGTATCCAGTGGGCCTGGGGCCAAGTGATTTGGGTGACGAAGCCTGTCTTGACCCAACGGGGGTGGCTGCCGTGGAAGGTAGTGAGGCTGTCGAGGGTGACAAGCCATCAGTGGACTCTATGCCGTTAGGTGATGAAACTGGCGCGTCTACACTCGTTCCTGGTGATAATGAACCGGACGAGGAGTTTGTTAAAGATCGATGGTACGAACATATGTTCGCATTGTTGACTAACCGGCCCGGTAGGTTTAAGAATTACTGTGTTAGGGCTGGACAGTTATACCGCTCCTTTGGCAATGCAGAAAACCCAGTCTGGAAGATGTGTGTTCCCCCTGACCGGGTGCGAGCTGTCTTAGAAGAGAACCACGATTTACCGACGGCAGGGCATTTGGGTGTAAAGAAGTCGATGGCCCGGGTGGCCGTTCGGTATTACTGGCCGGGTTGGAGGGGAGATGTCAAAATCTATGTCCGGAGTTGTCCTCAATGCCAAGCCTTCAAGGTGGCGCAAACAAAACCCGCCGG